AGAATACTCGTTAGATATGTCCATGGACGTGCTTGTTTGATATTTAAAAAAAAATCACAAAATATGTTCACAAACATGCTCGATGTAATTATTTATTTGGAAGCTCGATAAAGCTCGTTTGTTAAGTTAATGAACATCTAGAAGTAGAGCTCATTTATTGTTCGTTAGGCTTGTTTGTATACAGCTCGATAAGCACCAAACGAACTAAACATGAACCAAACATGAATACTCATTAATTTAAACGAACCAAACATGAACACAAATAATAAAGCTCGAATCAAACACGAAACAAACTTGAACAAACTGATAATAAATGAACACAAACATGAACTATTATTAATGTAAAATGTTTATCTTTGATAATATATCATTGAAAAGTGTATAAAATTGTATGTATGCTCACTGTGTACTATGAGTACATATTTAATATACACAATACATAGTGAGTATATAATTATATACTTCATAAAATTTTACATAAAAAATTAAAATTAATAATGAATTAGATTATAATTTTAGAATTTATCAAAACAATCTCTTTTTTTAAAAAAAATAAAATAAAATCTCTATTTTAGAACGATACTTTTTTAAGGGAAATTTGATCATATATACCTCATAATATATAATTGGTCAAACCACTCCTCTCATGAACTCCTCCCTTCACACATCATCAACCCATCAATGCATGGCATAATGACTCCTATCACAAACTCCTTTTCTTCTTCTCATGATTTCAGTTCATTTGTAACTACCCTAGGGGTGTAAGCGAGACGAGTCGAGTCGAGTGTCTGCCTTATCAAGCCTGGCTCGTTTAACACTCAATTGGCTTGAACTAGAGCTCGAGCTCGAGCTCGATTAGTAAACTCGAATAGCTTGATAAGCTTTCGAGTCGAGCCGGATTGAGATCGAACTCGATGTCGTTTATTACACGAGCTCGATAATAGGCTCGAGCTTGAAGCTTGATAAGCTCGGTTCGCGAGCTCGTTAACGAGTCGAGTTCGAGCCGGCTTGGCTCACTTACACCCCTAAACTACCCCAACCAATCCCGTCGTGAACTCGATCTCCTTCATATTTCGATAGTTTGTCGTTGCCTGCACCCAACAAGCCTTATCGTGAACCCCTTTTCTCCTTCACACAGACAATTTTTCAATATGTACACCATTGAGATCTTGTTTTATATAACTCGATGGCAATTTTCAATTTGTTCAAACTCGATGTATCGGAAGAGGTCGATGATTTAAATTAATTTCAAGTCACATTTGAACCATATTCGAACTAAGGTTACAACAAAAATTTGATTTTGATTTGATTTAAGTTCGAATCAAATTTAAATAAAATTTGAGTTAGGCTTGAATATGTTCTAATTTGAAATAGTCCAAAATAATTTCAAATGGCTTAGATTTCAATAAACAATCTGCAAATAAAATATCAAATTATCCTCTGTTGAAGCTAATTTTGTTTGAAATGAAATTTTTGTCATATTTCTTTAAAAAGGAAACAAGAGAAATATTTGACCAATTACAGTTTGAGGTGTATATATATATATATATTACAGAAGAAAAAATCTAATGGCATGTTATCAATAATATTTGGCTGTTTATTTGTGGTGTCCTAAATGGATAAGGCAATCAAGATTTAATCATTCTCTACAATTTTTTTTTTACACAAACTAAGCTTAAATGAAAATCTAAATTAGTTTTTCAACCCTAAGCTTTCTTAATGCTTTACTTTTCAGATCACAAGAACAATTTTTGTTTGGCCGCTGCTTTTTTATTACTTTAAAAAAAATTACTCGAAAGTTATTTTATATATTAACTTTTTTAAAAGTTATTTTCTCTCCAATAATTTTATAATCATCTTTATAATAAGTTGTAACTACGCCAAACTTATCCTTAGGCTTCGCTTGAGACAGCTTTCTTTCTACTTTGTATTTTAAATCATAATTATAATTTCTATTTTATCACAATTTTTTTATTATTTCCAAAAAAAATTTATATTAAGAAGTTAATTTTTACAGTCTACCCAAAAAATTATTTTACCCACTGCAACCTTATAACTATCTTTACAAAAAGATGTGCAGTCATTTCAAATTGGAAAACTCTTTAAATTCTTGCCAATTAAAAAAGGTATATTAAATAGAAATTTATTAAAAGGTCGCTGATTTTGTTAGTCGATTCAAGAAATTTCACAGCCCAATGTTTCAAGAATCAAAATGTTTACTGCATTCTACGAATAGAGCTGTCAGCCGGGCACATGTTGCTTCCAATGGCTGCAACTAAGCAGATTTCGATTTCGTTTGCGACAGCTTTTTTATTGATTTTGAAAGCAGTTTTTTAGTATAAAAATTAATTTTTTAGTACGAAAAAGCTGATTTAAGAAGAAGAAAAAAGCCACATCCCAAACGAAGTCTTCATCTATCGGCAGGAATCTAAAAAGACAACTGGCTTGCATGATGAAGCATCAGGCGCCATCTATAAATAGGATCCATGCGCGCACACACACACTTGAGCTCTACATCTAGTTTCAAGCTATCAATAGCCATGGCATCCTCCACCCATCTCTTCCTCTCCCTCTTCCTCCTCCTCCTGGTCATCTCAGTCATCGGAGACGACAGAACGGAGATCCCAGACGCCATAAATAACTACGCCATACAGAACCTCGGCCGCACGGCTGTGGCAACATACGATTACTCGACCAACCGAAATACTAGTTGGATTCGCTTCTGTCGAGTTCTCTACGCCGCTCAAAATAACGACGATCACTCTGTATATTCCCTCACGCTTTTGGCGTCTATGAAGAACAGAAATGGCCGTCATATGGACGGCTATGATGCAGTGTTGCATGTCTACTCTGATTCACGCGTGCCACCAGATTTGACTGTCTTTGTTCCTTATCCTGACCAAGGAGGGTTCATGGGAGATGGAAAACAGACTCCTCTAAAGAACCCAGTCGACTGTTTTGTATTGGACAGCTCACCTTGATTTCGCGGTAGGGAGCTTTAACTATCAATTAAGAAATCTTGAGTTCGAGAGAGATTATTACGTGCAGAGTCTGGACTAAGATGCGCCCAAATTTTATGAGGGTACACAGCAAATACACAGTTCTTTACTATGTACCCTCACAAAACCGGACGATCCGGACTCCACTCGTAATAATCTCTCGGAGTTTGAATGTTGCATATGTGTTATATGAGTGAATGTCTTAATTAGCTTAATAGTACAAAAAAAAAACTACTTTGTATTGATTAATAGCTTAATGTCTGAAAGTATTTGTGCATGTATGTGTGATGGTTTGTATTAATTTCAGCTTTGCTTGTGAGTTCACTTGAGTTAATAAAATATGAAGTGTATTAAAAATTATTAAATTTATTTTAAAATTAGCGTAATAAAAACACTAATTTTAATTTATTTTTATAAAAATCTTATAAAAAATATTTTGATATAATGATGTTTGTATTTAATAATTTATATATAATGAATGAATTTATTGATGAAATATATCATTAAAAATTAAAATTTTTTAAAATAATTTTTATATATATAGAAAGAGATTAGAGAGAATGTAACAGAAAATTGCTCAAAAGAAGTTGATGCATTCACAGGGAATACTTTGAAAGGTACATTTGAAGCTGAATCAAACTGCAACAACGTTTGCAGCCTAAATAAAACAATAAGAAAATAAAAATCTCCTATAACGTACAATGCGTATATTTTAAATGAAAAAAAAAAAAAAAAAAAAAAAATTGGGTGAGGTACCTTAAACCAATTTTGAATTAAAATGGATAATTTTAAATAATTCTAATATATATAAAAAAAAAGTAATTGTCTTATTGCACTATGTTAAAATAGATTTAATAACTTTGTTGCTCATGTGGATAAAAAAAAAATTAATTATGATATTATTATTATGAGCTACTTTTTTTCAATTTAAATTTGATTCTTTGATGTTAACACTATGAATTAAAAAAAAAAATAGATTTGTTTAATTAAAAAATAAAAGACAAACAATATGAATACAATAATACTAAAAAATATCATAATAAAATGAGTTAATGGGTCAGGTTCGAATCATTCAGGTTACTTGCAGATCAGATTCGAATTTATCTTTTTGAACCATTTATTAAAATGGTCAGATTTGCATTGGCTGGTTTAGGGTTAAGTCAATTTTAAATCAAATTTGAATTTGACCCATTAACCCATTAACCCATTTTGACAGTCAAAGCTCCCAATCTATTTTTCCTATCTTGTAAGAATAATTTGGTTATAAATCTGTTTTTTTATGCTTTTGAGCGAATTAAAAGTAAATTCATAATCTTTGTTATAAATTTCACAATATGTTTCATTTCTTTTTTATTATTTTTTAAAATAATTTTATAATAATTTTTTTAAAATAAAATAAATAAAAAGATGGAACAAGATTGTCATTCATTATTTTCTTGGTACCATCTAATTTACTAAATTTTTAAAAGAAAAGAAGATTTGATGAATATATCGAATAAAAATAATGGCACCAACCTAAGACCCCCATGCAAAATGGTACCACACATTTTGAGCATCATGTTGAAGAGTTCTCAATATGCAATTTAGGCTTTATCTGGACAACTTTCTTACTGCTTAAAACAACTTTTTTTAGTACAAAGTATTTAAATTTTTGTATTGAAAAATTGTTTTAAGAAATAGCAAGAAAGCTGTCCCAAACGAAACATTATTTTGATCTGTTGATTAGAGCTTAAACTACCAATCAAGAAGTCTTGAACTCAAAACTTTCATAACAAGTTATTCTCAATTTACACTTCATTAGATCACAATAATCTTCTTGTAACAATGTGCTCGAGGTCGCATACAGAGAAAATTATTTAATTTATTCAGATTTAAAATAAAGGAAACACGTGGCATCCATCCCAGCCATCCAATATTACTTCCAGTGCTGTTTGTGGTGTGGATATATCTGAAAGGACTGAAACACTTCTCTAATGAAATCTAGCTTTGCAAGAACAAACATAAATTAAGCAAAAAAACAAAGCATTAAGAACCTCAGTTCACCACCATTCGAACAGAACAAAATCCGCTACTACAAATAACAGAAGGAAGCCTTTGGTTTAAAGATTCAGCAACAGTTGAAAAGTAGCTTAGAGGCATAAAAAAGGAAAATAATAGTACTTCAGTTGAGCTTCTAAAGAGTTTACTCAGGCAGCTGCACCGGCACCCTTGCCTTTTTTCCTCTGGATCTTCTTCAGGTAGAACTCCAGCTCCTTGCCTTCGATAATGTAACTGAATAAAGAAGCAAAGCAGATTAGCTCTACTGGAGGCTTACAGAATTAGATTTTTTTGAGTTTTTCAAGGAAGAGGAGGAGATTGTGTTATTACCCATCAGCTCTGCCACATTGGCCAGGGCGGGAGGAGATACAGGCCAGGAGACGCCCACCACCAAACTGCTCCTCAATGTGGGCATCAAGCTTGCGGCCCTCCTGCCTTTTCTCCAACTTCCTTTGGACGTGGCTACTCTTTTTTACCTCTTCCTGCTGGGCTTCACCCTCTTGTCCCTACCAAAAACACACAAACAAACAGGAAGGTATGAGAGCAAAGCGTGACTAGGGCTGTGATCACAGGTCGGGTTCGGGTCCAACCCAAAACTGACCAGACACTATTCAACCCGACCTAAACTCAACTCATTTTTGCAAACGGGGCAGTTTTCAGAACCTGAACCCGACCTGCTTCGAGTCCGGGTCAACCCAAACCCGAACCGCTTCAAGTATATTTTACTAAAAAAAATTAATTTAATTCGATTTATTTAAACCTAAATCGAATTAAGCAATGTCAAGGCAAGTGGCAGAAAGACATCAATCTTTGGACAAATTGTCATTGTTGAGTGGCAAATAAGAGAGGCATTCTATCAATATAATTGAGATGACTGAGTGGCTCCAAAGGAGTGGATGCAGTCTTCAAGTCAAATGATGTCTACACGATTAAGAATACCAAAAGAATACTTTGCTTGTGAGATATAACAGCCAGGACAATTAGAAGATATTTCAAGATAAAAAAAAAGTATTGTGAGATATAACAGCCAGGATATTCAAGTCAAATGATGTCTACAGGATTAAGAATACAAGAGGAATACTTTGTTTGTGAGATTTAACAGCCAGCAAAGTTGGAAGATATTTTAAGACAATAAAAAAAAAGTACCGTTACTGACCCAAATCCTTCATCTCAAAGAAATATTGGAGATACCTTCTACGGCCCCAGATAATATTAGTGATGCTATGTGATAATCATATCATCCACATAAAAAAAATTAAATTGTACCTTCGAAGGATTAACAAACAAAGCAGAATCATAAGAGACTGACTGACCAGTCGAAATTTTTTTAATATAGCTACTAAAACTAGTGAACCAAGCTCAAGAAGCTTGTTTCAGCCAATACAAAGCTCATCTGAGGCAACAAATTTTATGATGGAATGTAATGACAAGTATTAGAATTTGACCCTTAACATAACACAATGAAGAAGAATGATTTTTGTAGTCTACGTGGATGAAGAAGAATGATTTTTGTAGTCTACCCCACGTAATGAGATAAAAACTTGATATTGTTGTTGTAATGTAATGACAAGTGATGAGCGCATATAAATTTCATTCACAATATCACCGATAAAAAAGGCATTTTTTGTGTCTATTGAGAAAGGAGGTCCATGGTGAAGTATTATAGAATTAGCATAAATAGGAGTGAATGTTTCAACAACTTCAACACAATACTCCCATGTTTATTATTCCAGTGTTATAGCCATGATATTTTATTTACAAATCTAATTCTTTGCTACAATAGTTGATTTTCTAACAAGGCGACTACTTCATGTACTTTCATGATAGTTCGTTTTATATTGTTGAATTATTAACCAATTATTCATTTTTAATGATTTGAGAATATTTTTAAAATAGCATATATCTCACTACACGCTATGCACTCTAGTCCGAGGAGAATCATGCACAATAGTAAACTAATTGTGATTAACAAATAAGATTTATTAAAGTTAACATAATATACAATTAAGAAGGATTTAATGTCAACTTCTCAAATGCAAATAAAATGTCATACAAACTTTTTGTATAACCACATTTATCCAATGGAAAGAAGAAGAAATACAAAGAAGGAAAACCAGGATCGATCCACATCATCTCCAATGAGCAGGAATATTTTCTGGATTTTCTTGTGGACCCCTCTTAAAGCTCTCGATCTGGTCACAAAATAGGGGAGGTTCAACCTTACAAAGGGAATAACTGTTATCCAGGAATATTGCAGTCCTGAAGAAGAAACGCTAAACCCTTTGGCTCTATTTGGTGGGCTGGTTTTACCGAAATCTTAAGCATTTGTTGTTCAAGAATTCTTGTAATAGTTTGAGCCTTTCTTTGTTTCTTTGTTTTTTAGTCCATTCCTCTTTCTTGTGTCCTCAGTGTCACAAACTACTGTTTAAATAGAAAAAGAAATCACGCATAGTAAAACCGGTTGCAATGGCTAGGCAGTCAATTGTTGTTTCAACAGATACATAATTTTCTCCTCCTCAACATCACCTTAACTAGCCTTATCCCAAGTATTTGGGGTGAACATTATGAAAATTCATTTCTTTTGAAGAATACTAGAATGTTTACTAAAGAGTTAAACCTATTCTTCACAAATCAAATTGAAAAACTTATATTCATGTAATCTCAGATCTATTGGTTTAAATTCCAAATCCTCTAGCATTAATCTTATCAACTCACCCCATGGGTTTATGTTTTGTAAGTTGTTGCACATGTCAAATTATCTAAGTCTTTTTTTCGTCAACTCATCGGCAAAAATATTATATTTTCTCTTATATAACCAACCATTAATTTATTCTTACTAATTTTGACACACAAACATCTTAGCATTCTCATTTTTGTCTCAATCAATATAGATATCAATGATCTTTTCACAATTTAATATTCTAATCCATATAACATAACAAACCTAATTGTAATTTATAAAATTCACCTTTAAGCATCTATAATATTCTCTTATCCCACATAAATCCCAAAAGGCTCCGCTATTTTAATCATTTAACCTTAATTTTAGAAATCATATCATCATTAGTGTCTTCATATAAACCTATCACACATGAGTATCACATTATCTCCTAATAATATTTTAATAATAATTGTCATCGTCATAACAACCAAAAATGACATAGTATATATTCAATTTTTGTTCTGCTAATTCTAAAGCTTTTGTCTTCTAAATATTTCCTCAATGTTGTAACTTTTAATTGATTCAATGGATATCTCACCAACTAGAGTTATATCAAAAAAACATGCACCAATGTACTACACTTTGAATATCATTTGTAAGCATCTACATATCATACATAAAAAGTAACAATATCACTATTGATTATTGATGCAAAGTTATGGTAATTAAAAACATTGGTACTCGATTATATGCCTTTTAAGAAGGCATATGAGTCCGTCGACACCTACTTCTAATATTAGTAGTTTCTCCCTTGCACATATCTTTAATAATGTCAATATATCATTGGTGCACACCTTTATGCTTTAGAGCACATCAAATCAATTCTTGTGGGTACACAATCACATGCCTGCTTAAAAATTAATAAAAATACATGGTTTCTAATTTGTTCTCTAAGCTTCTTCATTAATCATATTAATACAAAAATCAATTCCATAATAAATCTTCCTGACACAAAATAGGTTTATAAGTAAGGCTGTGTAAGTTTTCTAAACCTAAGTTCCATTACTTGCTCCCAGAGTTTTTTTTTTTTTTTTTGACTCATCAATTGATTCATATATATAATTAGTACAAACTAAAAAATCACCTTTGCTCTTAAATATTGGTATCAAAATGCTTCTCCAATCATTTGACATCCTCTTAGCCTATGAAATTCTATTTGAAAAACTTTTTCAATCAAATCATTACAATATCGCTCATGACATTTCAAATTTTAATATATATCTCGTCCAAATAAAAAGTTTTACTTTTATGCCTTTTTTTCTCAAAGCCAGCTCCACTTCATTTTTTTTAATGATCAATCTATAATATACTTAACCATGTTGTTCATCATACCCTTGCAAAATAATTTCTTTCTTGAATTTTTCAGTTAACAACTTCTCAAAGTAACATTTTCATCATTGCTCGATATCTTTATTTTTAATCATGGTCCTATTATCTTCATTTTTAATGCATCAAACTTGATCAAAATCAATAAATCTCTTTTATCTTATCAATTCTAAACATCCAATTTCTCCTTTCATGTACCAAGTCTATTTTATAAATCATCAAAAGTTGTAAGTACCGCTTTACTCATTACTAGCTTTCTTTCAAGTATTAGTATTCAATTTGTCACTTCTAAAAGTGTGTTTCTCGATCTTAATAACCTTTTGTACCTCCTCACTCCACCAAGTTTATTGACCTATGTACGATCTATTTCTAGACTCCCCTTAAACTAGTCATTTTATCCCACATCAAGTTTTGCTCAACTAAGGAATTTCAATTTGCCTCCATTAATGACTAATCTTCAAATTCTCATTTTTCAAATTCAACCACTTATGTTTAGCAAATAATTTGCTCCTAATAGCATTCTGTTCTCACATAATTAAAGAATTGCTTGTAACACAATTAGCAACAAAATACTTGCCTAGTAGTCAATGGCATGTTGAGCACACAAGAAAAAGATAAAACAGATTTAAGAATTAATACTATAACAATATAAAAACATAATAGATTTACCAATTCCATAGAACAGGTCAGTTGGTGAAATCGCCCACAAATAAGCATCAGAACAGGAAATATATAAAATGTGAAATTGCATCCAATATTGAATTGTTCATTGTATTAAAAGGTACAAACTGACAAATGAAACAAAGATTAAAAGGCTTATCTTATCTTTCTGATTTGTAATACTGATAGACATTTGAAGCAGAAAGAAAACTAAAAAGTTTCAGAAATTTTCATTATATTTCAATGTAATACACCCACGGAAAAGTAATTAGAGAGATTCTTGAAGCAACACATGCACAAATAAGCTAGGTATGCTTTGATTGTTTACATGAAAGAGAGGTTACTTCCAAAAAATAATGTAAATGACCAAAGAGTACCAGGTTTATCTATACTAGCTTGGAAAAACATTTAACTCTTTTTCTTTTGGACTTTTGAGCCAATTAAGGCAAACTCACACACATCACATACACAAGCTTCGAATCCAAGACCACTTGGTTGGTGGTCTTAAGCTCCTAACCAACACATTAAGGTGAGTTGTGTAACATTAACTCATATAAGTACATGAAAGCAAATTAGAATTATTGATGCTCAGAAGATGTCAATTTATCCGCTAAGCAGCACATCATTTCTTTATCACAAACCATTTTCTTCGTCCATCTAGAATGATCTATGGTAATAATAGGAAGGATGGATTGGTAAGCGATAAATGGCAATATTATAGAGACATAAGTGGTAGCAACTATTGAAGATGATGAAATAGTCGTAGGTGGTTTGGGCATTTATGAAGGAGAGTAAAAATGCACCAAGAAAATAGGAAGATAAAAATAAATTTGGAAGGATTTGGAAAGCTAAAGGGTAAAATAAAAATCACTTGACTATAAACCATGCAAAAATATTTAAGCAAAGCATATTTACTACCTCAAGCAACAACTCAACCAACAATAATGAATGAAGAATGAAATTTACAACCCCAACTAGTTAAAATAAAACTAAAAATGATAATAATGATGATAGATCAGGAAATGAAACCCTTCCATTATATGAAACATCAAATACAAAACTCAAAGGTCAGGCCCTACATGACAGCCAAACTCCGATACAATCTAAATGATCAACTGAAAAAAATTTCTTCTTTGAGAATTGCAACAATAACTCAGTAATTTTTACAGTTCAACCATGAAACAATGAATATAACCTAGGCAACAATTTTTCCCTTCCAACCATTGACAATTAAAGGAAAAATAAAACAACAATATCTCAATCTATGGGAAGAATTTTCATGTGATCCTTGTAACCAGCAAAAAATGTAATAGACTTGCAATGTCCACATTGAACAAGTTTCAAATTGAACACAAAGTAATGTTAACCAAACAATCATTGAAAACCCTAAATCATTTTATGATACAAATTCCAAAGTAATACTTTGCTAAAGAATATATGCGTACTGTTGTTATACCAAACTAACATGACAAAGCTGATGAAATGCTTAAGTATAGCAAAAAGAAGAAGTAAAAATAGGGGGAAAAAATCCACCTCAGGTGCATCCTTCTTAGATGAGGCAGCGGCCTTCTTCTTCTTCCCAAGTTCAACTCCATAATGCTGGAGGTACCACTGCTTGAAAGGGGTGGCATCAACCTGCACGATAGCACTCTTCACGAGGGTCTGCGTCCTCACGAGCTCATTGTTCGAGGCATTATAAACCACATCGAGGATTCTTGTCTTGCGGGTGATAGCCTCGCTCCCCCAGGAGTAATTTCCTGTGTCCAAGCGGAGAGCCCTCCACTTGACGTTGCCTCCTCGAACTCGAACCCTCCTGACCGTTTTGTTGCTGGAAAGTTTGGTGTTGGCTGGCTGCCGGCCTAGCTCATACCTTAAATAGTTGCAAAAGATAACTTATTTAAAGAACGATTTAAATAAAATCACTCTCGCCCGGAAGTGGGAGTACAATTCCATATGTAAATTCAAAGAAAAAGTGCTGCTTAGTTATGTTGATCCTCTTCACATATAATCCACCAATTTAACTAGGAAAATGGTCTATGTAAACAAATTATTGGAATTTAGAAAGCTTGTCATAATAATAGAGTTCCAGGACGGGTAAAAACAAGATAGAAACTATAAAAACAGACGCCTTGTATAAGGAGAAAGGGTCCTCAGATCAAGACTTCTTTTTTTCATGGCATGAAGAAAACTTGAGTGGAGGACGCTTACTTTCTCTTCTTCCTCCAGGCCTTCTTTTTGCCGCCTGTGGCGCGCTTCTTATGCAAGGAATCCCGAGAGATACCTAGGAGTAAAAAGAAGAATACGCCATGAATTAGATTCGTGCAGACACATCGACAAGTTTAGAAGCCAGGGATGGATCTTTACCCATTTTGGCCGATCAAAAGTAATGACGACGATTGCCTCCTCACTCGTTCGGCCCCTAAGCCGCCTCCTTGTCTCTCTTACCCTCGCGTCAGCTAGAGAAGATGAAACCCTAGGATCAATTTAAAGAGCCAGCGCTTCTGTGATCTACGGTTCGGCCCTTTTGCACCATACGGCTTATGATTATCGATATTGCAAAAAGATCCTTGTTAATCTTAGTAATTTTCTGGGGATTCATTTTAGTGCACTATCTTTTTACAAAAAAGTACTCACAAAATTTTTGGCTTGTCAATTAGAGTTTTAGGGTCCTACTTCAAGATTAATTATTTAATTATGTATCACAAGGGTTTAAAAATTGGACAGGATCGGCCAGTTCAACTGAACCGATTGAATCAGGAACCGATCGGGCAGTCGATCCGGTGCTACCATAAGAACCAGCTTGCAGTCAATTCAGTTCAATTACCGATTGAACCACTGAACTGCCGGATCATACGTGTTTGAATGAACTGGTCGGTTTCAAAATAGTGTGATTTGTGTCGCTGATTGCACATCAAACAGCTGGAGAAATAGGTTTCGTGAATAAGCTCTGAGCCGAAAGCCTGAAATCTTTTTTTATTTTAAAAATAACTCTTTTAATTATTTGTGTATATTTTTATTCATGATTTTGAGCTCTACTTAATTTTTTGTCACATAATTTTTAATAATAGCATCATTATTTTGATAGTTTATTTAAAAAAATAAAAGTTGCATTTATTACGTCATCTGGTTCAACCCCGGTTCAACCAGTCGAATCGTGAGCCTCTCAATCTTCTGATTTGTTGTGTTGTCTGATTTTCACAACATTGATTTGTCATAATAAATATTCTAAAATAATAAATCAAATGACCATTTAAATTAAAAATTAGTAATTAATTATTCATTATTTGTATGTATGCATAATATGTTATGATGATTATTTTAAAATAATAAATTTGTTTGAATTTATTTATATTAATTATGTAAGTGGGGTGAACAATAATTAATTAATATTTTTGATAGCTTCATTAAAAATTTATTTGTTTTTTACTTTGGAGAAAGTGATTAATTTTAGCTTGCTGATGTAATTGGTTTTTTATAATTTATTGATTTGTAATTAATAATTAACTTGGTAATTGGTTTAATTATTTGCTTAGCATGATTGAAAGTTAGTAGGAATTTTAATTTAATTTGCAAAGGTCATATTACTGATGTAGATTGACCATGATCAAATGATGATGATGAACCCAACATGATTTGATTTTACGTTCAATGCTATTTGTATTTTTATATTATTTTCTTCTTCATTTAGCTATTATTTTCATTACGTGTGATGAGATTTCATCTTCAGTCATAGTGTATATTAGTGTCATTAATGAATAAGAATGAATATTAATTCTTACTTCTTTTTTTTGAATTTTTTCTCTCTTTTTTTTCTCACCCGTTTATTTTTCTCAGTCTCCTTTTTTTGCCCTTAGGGGTCCATCTCCCCTTCTAATATTGTCATCTTCCACTCGCTCTCTTTATATGTGCACAATTTTTTGCTATAAAGATAGAATGTCGTAAACATAGATATTTGATATTATAAATGATATGCCCTTCTTCATAATTACATAAGGTGAAAGTACAAGGTAAGAAATTGGGCAAGTAGAGATTGTCTCATTAGTACCCTTGAACTTTTAGTTTTGTTGTTCTATGCATTTTATCTTCCTCTTTTTTTCGAAGCTCTTACTTCAACAATGGTTTGCTCAATTATCAATAGTCTTGAATGTTTTATCAAATCAAAGTAGAGATTCACTTCATTCATTAAACAAAAGAGCATGAAGCATCCTTTGCAAGAGGTGCACCTTAGTTAGGGCTTTATTGTGAGAGTTTTAATGAGTTCAATTCCCTAACTCTTTCTAACACAGAGTTATGCTTCTATTAAGATAAATTTAGATTGATCTTGTTTTATTCTTCTTTCTTAAATTCTTTGATATATTATCCTCTTCTCAATTTAGGTAATGTCGAACTCTTCTACAAGCTTGGTCTTCTTTAGCATCATCCTCCCCAAGTAAAGGGTGAAGTAGACCCTAAGCTCTTTAGAAATATGTTTACTATAAAAGCTTCAAAATGGGTATATTATGTTTCTTTTTCAAATGTTTCATGCTAGAATTATTGAAAAGTAAAGCAAATAGTTAAAACAATAAGTATTTTTTCAAATAAGTTTACTAAGAGGTGGTCGATCAAAATCATGTCTGTAAAGATTTAAAGAGACATTGTGATCCCACTAAGTCTCTTATGCTTCGTTTGGGATGACTATTTTACTGCTTCTTGAAGCTGCTTTCTAGTACAAAAATTTTAATATTTATACTAAAAAGCTGCTTAAAAAGCTGTTTTAAGAAGCAATAAAAAAACCGTCCCAAACAAAACCTTAGTTAACAAGTGCAATCGGGTGTGAGTTGACAGAATATATTCTAGATTGCAAGTTGTACTCATTCAAGAAAATGATCAAGGCAACACTTGACCTTGAACCTCAATTAGTAAGCAAGGCTTTAATTTTTTAACAAAAATTTGTTGTTTACCTTTTACTAACCTATTGAGTTTAGATAACCTGTTGTGATTTTTCCTTCTATATTTTTTTATATTCTTGGTGATGTGTATGCTGATATAAATATGAGTTTGGAAGTTGACATCTACTTGTGTGTCTTCTTGGATGTTGTCGTCAAAGAAGGTAACATCATCTTTGAGGGTAGAAAATCATTGAAGAGGCAATGAGTTGTCCTTAAGTAGTAGAGGAAGATGAGGAGAAGTCTAAAAGATTTATGAGGCGAAAGCATCATCATGGGATGAATACGGCTAACCCCATTAAAATTAGTTTGGGCACAAGAGACAATCCATAGACTTGAAGAAGGAAAGGTATCATGATTTCAAAAGGTGATCTGATGAGGAATGTAGGACTTACAAGGGAAATGAATCTTTAATTTATCCATTGGCCTTTGAATAACATTTTCTTACTACTATGACATAAGTTCCTTCAATTAAGATCAGGGTTTGGGTAAATATGTTGTCCACATAAATGTTGATTCCCTAGAGCCGGAGGGAGTGCTGACTAGTGATTTATACATTATGGCCATGTATAAACATATAAAGTCATGGTATATGAGTTTCTTTGTGAAGAGAAGCAACAAAAAATATTGTTTAGCCAAGCATAAAAATAAGGATAACAATCTTGAGAATGGAAATAATAAAAAATTTTGAGGTATACTTCAAAAGATAGTGAATTATTTTGTGACCAAATATATAAGCTAAGAAGGTTGAGTTAGTAAAAGTTAAGGAAACAATAAGACCTTTGAATGATACATTATCTAAGAAGGATGCTTTCTTAGGCATGATAGTGAAATAAATGAAGTCGTAGGAAAAGCCTAAGAATGTAAAGGAGATGCATGAACGTTCTAACTCCAAAATCTTGACGTGAGAATAATAATAAGATTTTTGAATTCTATAATACCAGCAACTTGTAGACATATTTGTGGATATTGACATTAACAAATACAATGTCTAAATACTATCACATAAATCATTTTTGGGAAAAAAATGATAGATAACTAAACCTAACAAAAATACTTAGGCAATAGACATTTTTTTGGAGACATGAAAAGCAATAATGGTTCGTTTTCGCTTTTACTCATCTCTCGCGACTCATGAGTCACGACCTCGAGAACGGCTTTCATTAGCCCCCCCTGAATAAAATTTCTGGCTCCGCCACTGTACAGATGTATAGTATTTAGCTAAATTTTTTATTCTTTGAGCTGTCAAGTTGCAGGGAGTAGTCACATTGTATGAGTTGTAAAGTTACCTTATAAAATCAGGCCATCATGGTGTATTATCAAAACATATTTGTAGGCATGTATTATCTTGTCATATAGACACTAGCAATAAATTTCATTAAATACTTTTCATATTTTAGTTGTCATATCTTAGGTGTTATTCTCTGTCTATATAAATTGAAGATGTAAATGTTCATTTGATGAGCAAGATCTGAATCTTGTAGCCTTAAGTTTGTTTACTAGAGTTGTCCAATCTCTTGTTCCTTATTCTGCAATGTATTTGCCAATTATGGATAAGATTCAAAGAATTCCCATCAAGCAAATGATTGAAGAGGGAATCACTCATTTGAAAAGAAAGTTTGGCGCTAACTTATGATGACAATCATGAAGAGAAGGCCAAATGTAATGAAATTTTCTAGCGTGTTATGTATTTCTGGAGCGAATATGAAGATTGCTTGTTGCAACATACACATAATGAGATTATGAAAGTAATGCTATACATAGTCGGTGATGATCTTAGAGACAAGGGGTGACAATATTTACATTAGAGATTCATGGATCATGATGAGTATTTGGTTTCACTAGACTTTCTCAAAGGTCAAATTTATGAATCTGATCATGATAGAGAAGGTTCTGTTGAGGTGATCTTTAAAAGGTCAATGATCGATGTAAATAACTATATTTTTTACCATAAATAGTATCCTAGACATGATGAATTCCTATTAAAATCCTATAAGATGCTTATTGAAAATATTGTACCAAAAAGGAGTTTTTTAATGGAGTGGACTGACAGTATATTCAACAAGAGTTTGAGTTCCATCCAACACAAACTCAACTCCAAGCTCGCTTATGCATGATAATTAAAAATATGTAATCCGTTGTTTATTTGCTGATGTTAGTTGAAGTTGCTAGTTTTTTTTTCCCTTCTTCTACTAGTTAGTCCACATTATGTTATTTTTTACTCTGTTTTTTAATTGTTGTTGAATGAATGTTAGTTTTGTGTGATTTGAAAAGATTTATATAGAATCAAGAAAGTTATTTATTTTTTAAAATCTTCAACTTCGAATTAGTCATCTGCGAACCTATATAACAAGATAATAACATCAAAATAGAATAAAATATAGTACATAATCCACATATAAGGACTACAATATCAACATTGCAATATAACTAAAACATCCAAAATTTACATATTATATATCACAAATGCCTCCTTTTATGCCGATGTGACATTGCATTAGTGTATGGAGTGAAATGCTATGGTGTACGCAATGGCATGGTGCATAGATGGTGTTGGTTCTCAAGACTGACATTAGGGTGTGTGGCTGAAGGCTCG